GGCACAGGACTTGTAAACCAGCAGAAACAAATAGAAATGGAAACTCCTTTTCAGCCACCCTTCACCCATTATTCCATTGAGATGCCCAATATACTTATGCATTATGTAGGTATCTTATTAGTAAAAACGATTTGCTCCTTTAAAACAGGGGTGGCTAACTTGTGGCCCTCCAGATGTTGCTCTATTAGCATCCAATGATCAGGAATGATGAGAGTCGTAGCCGAATTGCAGGTAAGAGGGTCTACAAGTTAAGCTTCCTTGGATTAAAAGAAGCTTTCAGATGATTTTGCAGCCCACTTTTACTGTTGTGTTCTGAATGCTTTGTTTCTGAATGTTTCTGAATATTGAAAGAGATGGAGATTTATCAAAACTCTTTAAAAAAAAACCTCTGGTGTGCGATTTTCACAACCTCAAGGAACTACTGGCAAAGCTTGAAATTTTAAAGCCATTTATTCCCCAGGTTGGGCAATATGCCCCCTAAGAATTGTGTCCACAGAAAAATCAGGAATGGGCCTCAGGCTATCGTGCCCCTCCCATCTCTTTCAACTCTACCACAGCAGGAAAAAGCAAACAACTGAACTGGAAAATCCCATGTGCTCTCACTAGTCCTGCGAGATTCAGCTCCTTCCCATATTTGACCACATAAAATGTCTATGTGGGGAAGAAGGGGTTAATTGCAAGTAAATCCCACCATTATTGGTTAGCTTTGCTTCCAAACTGACTTGCTAATAACTGAGGTGTAAGACACATATCTAAGCCTTAACAACAAATACTTTTACAGAAGCAATTATGGAATTGTTTTGATACATGTAAAATAGTCATTTCAATCATATAAAATAATAATAATAATAATAATAATAATAATAATAATAATAATAATAATATTTATACCCAAGCCACTCTGGGCGGCTTCCAACGAAATATTAAAAATACAATAAATCATTCAGACTTTCTGGAAAAATATTAGCATAAAAAGAAAGATAGAAAGAAAGAAAGAACAACAAACACTTTTAAAATCACAGAATTGTAGTGTTTACAGGACTCTAAGGGTCACCTGGTCCAACCCCCCTGAAATGCAAAACTGTACTTTGTTGTTTCATTAAAAACCCGTTCCCTTGTTAACATATGTAGAAATGAAGCATAAAGAAGAATAGACCCATATGCACAACTTTCCTTTTGTTAGCTATGGAGAAGGTACCACAAAATCAGGGAAATTTGCTCATCAAGAGCAAGCAATGGGAAACTCGTGAACTTCTGAACTGCAATCAAGGGATGCACTTTGGCATCAAAGAAAGTTGCTATTAACTCAAATAAAAGCACAGAAGGCATGGGAAGAATGCCAAGGTATATATTAAAAACACTCCTTTTCTAATGTTTTGCTACCAAAGTTTTGTAAATTATTTTAGCCTCCAGTCTGTAATGTTCTAGTCTGAATTAGAAAACTAGGCATAGCTATCATAGAAGTAACCTCCCACATACACATCCCACAATCATGAAGACTGTTTGCTTTAAAAATAGTACTTTCCTATCAGGCAAGGCTTTTGTCTGTACAACTTTGTTGTGATCTGCATTTGTAAGAGATTGGGAGCATGTGCATAAACAGAGCACACCTGGTGTGTTCTGCTGATATGAATAGCTGTACACAATGAAAATTTCTGTCAATAATACCATTAATGGGCTTTTGTGTCTTGCCTCCTCTTGAAGTACTCTGGACTTGTTGGGTCACACTCTTAATGGCACTGGCAAAGGGGTACAAATTAAATCATAGCTCACTTTATACTCATTCACCTAACACAGAATCTACAGTCCTCTGCAAATATCTCCGAGCCTCAATTACAGTATTAAGAAGATTTCTTCCACAGCTCCTAAGAAGGATTCAGAGTGTAGCTTATTTAGTGCAAAAGTTCCTGCAAAAGTTTCCTGCTTTGTTCAAAACATTCAAATCTGATGTTCTATTTCAGTTTAGAGTTTGGGAAGTCTTTACAATATCATAATGCCTTTAATATCTGTGCACATTTTCAGTAAAACATGAACCAATACAGTGTATTGTTCAAATGCATGTCTTGCACAGAGAAATAAATGTGTGCTTAGTAGTGAAATATATGGAGTGCATTCCCATATAAGCAGGCATAAATCACTCCTAAACCAAAGTCTGTGCTAAATAATTTATCCTGTGTACTATTAACTCTTGGCAAAAGATAATAACCCAGACTTTTCACCCAGATTTCCTTATCTATAGTAAATCCCAGGAAAGGTATCCACAGATTTTAAACCTGCAGAGTAGAAACAGCTTAGCCATAAAGACTGTTCTCTACAACAAGAAAGTACACAAACTACCGACCTTTTAAGCGAAAGATATGCACCAAGAGAATTGTGTTTACATTTGAGACATGCCTGAATTGGAAGTGAAACCCTGTTTGCCTCTAGTGCTTCATTGTTTCTAACTATACAGAAGTCCCCTCCCCTCCACAAGCCTCTTGCTCTCGTCCAATAATTGCTAACCCACCCGTTAAAAAAACGGGTACTGACAGATATTTAAATAGTTCAAGGGAAAAAATTACCATCAGCAAGTCTACGACAAATGAAGCTGAAATATTAACAATAAACAATCCAATACTTCCTTCAAGAACAGATTTTCTACATATCACCACATATTCACCAGTGCAGTGGGTAAAACCAGAGATACCTGGGTTGAAATTTCCTCTTGTACATCAAGCTTGCTAGGTGATCTTATTTTTTTGCTTTAAAAATTTTCATAAAATTTATATCCTGCTTGTTTGCAAACTGCTTTGAGGTTTTTTAACAAAAATAAAACAATAAAACAATCAGTAAAAACCATAAAACTCTTTAAATCATTCAAAATATAAAATCAACTATAAACTAAAATCAGATTAATGTATACATCCACATTCTACACCCTAGATCCAATGGGAGCCTAATCTACCTCAAAGAGTTGTAATGAGGAGCAGGAAAGATAACCACAGACATATCAGCCTGTTTAAAGAAAGAACAGGAGGCAAAACACACACATACTAGGTAAGGTTTTCATCCATGCTATGCATTAATGTATAATTGTTAAGCAATTGCTCAATATCTACTGCTTGCAGGGTAGTACGGCAGATTGTGTGATGCTTGTGTGCTAAACTTATGCTTACATAAAAACTGCTCACATAGAAGACTATGAGAAAATATTAATTACCAATTCAGAGCATTAGTTTCCCACTTGTATAGTGGAATACCAATGACTCGCCTTCTTGTATTCTGGGAGAATAAGCAGTAACTTTTTGACATTTTGGCAATATTATTATGGTATAGTTCTTTGGCTGGAGGATACTTTTAGCTGACAGATTTATCTATTTCTCTAGTATTTTATTGCTTGGTCAATAATCGCAGAAAAGTTACTAGCCCGCAAAACAAATTTTAGCAGCCTGCTATAAGGCCTGCATTTTCATGGCTGCTCATGAGGACAAGACTCATCCTTAAAGGCCTACATGGAAACCTAGTGAAAGGCTTGGTTGTTGTTTTTAAAAAAGACGTCTATAAAGCAGACGGGCACAGAAATGATGGAGATGTTAAAGCACAGGTTGTGTGTACCATTTGCACAGGACCTCATACCTCCTGTGCCTTCCTCCTGTTTTTAAACATTTAAGAAAATTCTTACAAGGTAGTTTCTCCCCCCCCCCCTTCAAAGTTTGCTTAAGATTTTACCTTAACAAATAAATTAGCATACACCAATGTGTGTCATGGGTTAAGTCCTTTTAAGGATCTAGCTATGCTCCTGGAAGGAGAGAACCGGCACTTTTCTGCTAGCCTTTTGCATTTCTAACCAGCTCTGGCTTCTTCAGAGTCAGGCACAGAAACCAAGTGGGCTATTCAGTCAACTCACATGCATCTATGGCATTCCTGGGCACCTATGGCTACCAGGAAACCTATGAAATACAAGGCTAGTTGCAAGTGTTTCAGGTGTGTGTGCAGAAGATGCAACAAGTTACACTGCAAAGCACTTTCCACACACACACAAAATGTTAAAAAAATTAATGGTCACAATCCCACAAAGCCCAAACCATCAAAATTCTACAGGAGTAAACAAGTGTACTTGGGTGGAGGTGGGGGCATTGATAGCTTCAATGCTAACAAGAGACTGACAAAGTGACTCTGACTGCCTTGTTTCACACAAAGCTTTTAAACACTGATTGAAGGAACAGTTTTCTCTTTGCACAGGCAATACTAATAGGTGGAAAGGTTTCGCTATTCAAGCCCAGATTTTCCAGGTGCCTTGACTGTTGAGGAGAACAAGCAAATGGAACAAGCATCTTAAGATTTATGTAACCCAGACACATGAAGGTTGGCTTGCAGAGACAGAGGCGGCGGCGGGGGGGGGGGATGGGAGCATCCAAAAAAAGGGAAGGAAAATATCATTTTATACTGATTGTAGCAGATGCGCAGCAGGAAAAAATGTTTCTAAAATGAAGAAAGGAGCAGAGCAAAGAGTGGTGGAGCAGTCGATATCAAGGATCTGAGCACGTGGGTACAGGAGTGAAATGGAGAGGATTTGGGAAGCAGAGGCTATGATGGTGCAGAAAGGAGCAGGAGCCCGAAGCAATGATAAAGGCGAAAGGGTTGTGGAGGGAGAAGGGGCCCCAAAGCAGAGAGGTACTAGCAGCCCCATCCTACGCCCGTTTGCTGGGGAGCAAGTCCTCCCTCGCGGAGGGGGGTCCATGGGACTTGCTCCCCTAGCCAGCGCGCACGGGGCTGCAGCTTCGGAGGGAAAAAGAGGGCAGAGGCGAGATTTCCGCGGCACCGTGCGGAAGGAGGCGCAGCCCCGCGGAGTCCCTCTCCGAGGAAGGAGCCTGCAAGGGAGCCCAGGGAAGAAGAAGGAGCACTCGCGGCGTCTCCCCCGCCCAGAAGGATCAACTGGGGGGCGGAGGGGCCGCCCCGCTCCCCGCCGCGCCCTCGGTCGCCCAGCCTGCCCGCTCCGCCCGCCGCCGCGCCGCCCTCACCATCAGCACTTTGGCCGCGTTCTCCAGCTGGGCGATCACCTCGGGGGCTCCCCCCGCCGCCGCGGCCGCCGCCATCATGGTCTCTCTTCAATGACGCGCCATGCACTGCATTCTGGGACGAGGCGGCCGCCCAGCCAATCCCCGGCGCGGGCGCGGAAGGAGAGAGGGGAGGGAGGGGCGAGCGGGCAGCGCCGGGAGAGCCTCGCGGAGCGGAGCCTCAGTCGGGCGGCGCTGCCCGCCCCTGCCAGGGGGGGTTGCGGAGGCGTGCGCGCGTGCCGCGTGGGGGGAACGGGGGGGGGTGTCTCCCGCGCCAAAACGGCCATGAGGAAAAGCTGGACAGTCGCTGCCCTGCTCGAGGGAGTTGGGGGTGGGGTACGAAGATGCCCCCTGAGAATCACCTCAGCCATTCGGGTGCCGCGGTTCGTTGCCTTTTTAAGCGCAAAAGTAGCGCAGACCCCGAAAGTCCCCTGAGCGAGGCTCCGGCTCTGGGTCGAGCTTGCCCCGCCGGAGCTCAGCATGCATGCGGACGAAAGGTGTGTTTGTGTGTAACCGTGAACACGGGGGAAAGCGCCTTTGAACACGTGTAGAGTGTTCGTCACTCTCGGCGCGGAGTAAGCGCAGCCCGGGAGGTACCTGGCTTCCACGTCAAAGGGTGGTGCGCGCGCTTTCCAAGTAGGCTCAAAAGCGGCGGAAACGACCCTGGACTATTTTGGTGTTTTAATATCGCGCCTCAGGGCTTACAGAAAAAGTAAAGTTAGCAGTGGGCGTCCTTGCAAGCGCGCACGGAGAATAAAGTCGGGCTAGTATACTAGCAGCTCTTATTTAGCCCGAGAGCATCACTTCTTATTATTATTTATTGATTAGTAAAGCAGTTTCACAGAGCCCAGATTCTGAACTTTTTTTGCTTGCTTTTGTAATAGGCAGCAATTCAGTAGATGTGCTTGCTGAACTTGTACATGTCATTCACTATCAAAGGCCTTATGGCCCTGACAGAATTGGAGATACCCTGTTCTTCTGTGCAAAGTTCATTTTTCTAAATGGGAAGGAAGGACTGTAGCAACAGAGCTGTTGCTTTGCCCCAGGTTCGGTCTCAGGAATTACAGTTTTAAAAATAATCTGATAATGGGGGAAACGTATACTTGAGACCATGTGGACTCACTGCCTTTCATACAAGACAATATAGATGGACAAATAGTTTGAACTGGCCTCTTATGTCTGTATTTACCAAATGCAGCTGTCTCTCTTGTACTTCACACAATAATCGGCTAATCTTCCCATACCTATACGGCCACTCACATACAGAAATGAGACCCCAAGCTGCACCTAAAAAATTGCTGATCCAAAACATGCAGCTTCCCAAATGAGTGCTTGTATGCACTACACTTGTTTTCAACCTGAACAATAAAACAAGTGGGCAGTCTGCTTTTTGTTGAGAGTCACATTCCCTCAGAGGAACCAGTCAGGGACTGTATGCCAGTGCTGAGCAGAGCCAGAGTTGCATGGTGGGGGAATAAAGATCTGGCCCACCTAGCCAAAAAAGGTTCACCCATGATGTGTTTTTTGAAACTGATGCTGCACATTTCACATAGGTCCATACCAAAAACTGAATTTGCAACATACAGTATACTTAAATCTTATGGATTCATTGCACTTTAGATCTTCACTCATAGGGAATCATACTTTGACCTTTATTATATCAGTTGTTCCACCATAGCTACTCTTCACAAGTAAGTTTAATAACTATAGTGGGATCTGAAGAGCTACTTCAGGGAATGCTATGGTTTTATTTTTCTTTCAGGAGCAAATATTAGAAACCGTTTTTGAAAGTCCTTTAGTTGTGCTATGTTGCAAGTGGGGTTTCAGTCCTTAGCTCCTTTGGATCTTGCTCTATACATTTTAAGACTCCTAGGCAAAATAGATTTTAATAAATTGTTACAAATTTATAGCATTAAGCTTATAGTATACTATGGCAGAATACTATAAAAATTACTTAGTTGCTTGGAATAACACAGAATTCACTTGTTTAGTAAAAAAGGGGATAATGGTAAGAGGAGGGGAGCAAGAACAAATTTTCCAGATACTTACTGAGAGCCGATACAGATAAATTTCTAAGTGAGAACTGTAAGCAAACTGAATTACTCCACCCCTCAACTCCTGAAGATAAGGCTGAAGGTTAACATTTCTACAGCTAATTATAATCTCATTACTCGTCCCCTTTGTCCATATAGATTACGGTAATAGTCACTAAAATAGAACCATACAGAAATTAATCATAGTGAATATGATACAGTGAGAAATGGAACTGTGACACTATATATTACCAGCTTAACATGCAGCTAGGTTGTTATTTTCTTAATTTGGATCAAAGCTGGTTTGGGTGGAAATACGTAAAAATGTGATATTTCATAAGAAATTATAGGAATGATATAGGACAGATGTGGATACTAGGAAAGGTCCTAGAACAGATAATTAAACAGTCAGTCTGTGGACAGTTAGAAAAGAATGCAGTGATTACTAAGACTCAGTATGAATTTTTCAAAAACAAGTCATGCCAGATGAATCTCTCTCTCTCTCTCTCTCTCTCTCTCTCTCTCTTGATAGAGCTACAAGCCTGGTGGATCAGCGGAATACTGCAGACCTGGTGGATCTTGATTTCAGTAAGGCTTTTGACAAAGTCCCACATGTGAGGAAACTGGTAAGATGTGGGCTGGATGAGGTAACTGAAAGTTGGATTTGTAGCTGGTTGACTGACCGAACCCAAAGAGTGCTTGTTAATGATTCCTCATCATTCTGGAAAGCAGTGACAAGTGAGGTGTCCTGGGCCCATTGTTCAACATCCTTACAAATGAGTTGGATTTAGTTATTGAAGGGATGCTCATCAAATTTGCAGATGACACCAAACTGGGAGAGGTAGCCAACGCGACAGAAGACAGAATTGAGATTCAAAATGATCTTATCAGATTGGAGAACTGGGCCCAAAGTGAAACTAACAGAATGAAATTCATTAAGGATAAATGTAAGGTTCTACACTTAGGCAAGAAGAACCAGCTGCGCCAATATAATACTAGGGGCACCCGCCTTGCCAGTAGTACATGTGAAAAGAATCTAGGGATCTACTGACTACAAGCTTAACATGAGTCAACAGTGTGATGCAGCAGCAAATAAGTTAATACTGTTTCAGCCTGCAGCAACAAGTATACTGTCCCGATCAATGGAAGTAATAGTACCACTCTATTCTGCCTTGGTTAGACCACACCTGGGGATTGGATAGGAAGTACTGGAGCTTCCCTGATGGAACAAAGCTTAGATTGAACTACCAAGTTTTCTCCAGTTCCATTGTAGGGACACAACACTCATTGCTAAAGAAAAGCCAATCTAAACATGGTCTTGGGGCATGTGTAGAGTTCCAGTTGAACTGAGCTTCTGAGCATCATCTTTCCAAGCCCTACCTGGAGATGGCAGGGCTTTTAACCTGGGGCTTTCTGCATGTAAAACATGCTAGTATTGGAACAGAGGCTATTATTAAATAAACCACTTGCTCTACAAACCATTGGCCCACGGCTAGAATGAAATCTTTTAATTGTGTGATGATTAATTGTACGGATATGCCAAATAATGTAGAATGTCACCAGCATATACTGCATCCTTTATTCTCAAATGAGAAGTGTCCTTCATGCTTTGCAGTTGGCTAAATGCCAGCTGCAGCAGAGAGGCTCCCTGAAAAACAGTGTTATAATATATATAAAGGGCACCCTTGTCTTTGCTAGCAGACAAACCCTTAGTTAATTAATGGCTCTGCTTGTATGGATACATGGTTTCTGAGCTTCCTTTGGTTCTAACAAAGTCTTTGTTTACGAAATGTGCTTATTAAAACGAGTTAATATGTTATTCTACTGACTGCAGCAACATAACGTTAATTTTATCTTTGTAGAACTATTTCTGCATAACTGCCCCCCAACAAAAAAAAAACCCAGGATCAGGGCCATGCTACAAGGCAATAGGTTTTTAACCCAGGTGTGGGATATGTGACCCTACAAATGCTACTCAACTCCAACTTCCATCAGCTTCATCAAGCATGGCCAAAGGTCAGGAATTATTCGAATTGTGGTCCAATAACACCCAGCCATGGTGCCCCAACTCCTGCATAACCATTTATCCCCACATCATAACTGTTGTTTATTCATTCAGTCATTCCAGGATGGATGTTTACAATCATGCTATTTCAAATGCTGTTTGCAACCACTAAGACTCAGGCAGAAGTGTATATTGCCACATGTCACCCCAATCTCTGAGCGGTGTGAGATCCCAGGGGGTCCCAGAGTTTGGTTTCCTTGGAGTGAAGGAGACAGTGGAGGCTGTGTTGTCTTGATGATATATGGTTTATTTGCACATCTGTACAACGGGAACCTAAGATGGAGTGGCTCACAACATTAACACCTTCCGGACCTCTCGTGGAGGAGGCACACGAAGAAGGATCTCAATGAGCTCAAGGTCTAGATAGGTTCATATGGAGAGAAGTGGACCTTTGAGGTATTGAGGTCCTGAGCCGTTTAAGCATTTAAAAGTCAAAACCAGCACTTTGAATTTGGCCCAGAAACTACCGGGAAGCCAGTGCAGTTGGGTCAGGATTGGTGTAATATGTTCAAACTGTCTTGTCGTGGTTATTATAGTTCTGGGAGGGGAATAGGGTCTCCTGACAACTCTCAGCACCAACAAACTACAACTCCCACAATTCCTTGGAGGAAGCTCATGCTGTTTAAAGTGGCATGATACTGCTTTAAAAGATGGATTGGATGCATTTGTATATTTCACATACTGTCTTCACTTTGTTCCTCAGGAACACAGTGTGTGTTTATGTTCTTTCGAGAGAGTCCTTTTAAGGATCTTTTTAATAGTATTGGACAAAGTGTTCACTGTTGAATGTACATCATTAATCTAATCTTTCTGACAGATCAGGTCCTAACACTTTAGAGAAAACTAGCCTGCCACACCATATATTAAAAGCACTCCTGTGTCACTTAACAGTCATAGCTTTCACCAAAGAATTATGGGAACTATGGTTTGGTAAGGGTGCTGAAAGTTATTAGGAGACCGCCCCCCTCACAGAGCTACAGTTCGCAGCACAGTTAATAAACTACAGTCCCCATAATTCTTTAGGAGAATCAGGACTGTTAAAGTGCTTTAAATTTATAATATGGATATGATTGAGTCACTAATATCCTTTTAGTTGTACATAGGCAGGATTATTTTCTTCCATCTTAAGCACTAGATAAAATATTACAGCTCAGTGGTACTTTAATAGCTAGAAGATCATTAAAGATGATCCTTTTAGATTCCAATCCTATAACACTTACCTGGGAGTAAGTCCCACTAGACTCAATGGGAATGACGTTGTTATAAATTCTACTCATATTGATCCATGACAGAACTCCAACATATAGTTAGCAGAGTAAAAACTTGAAACATGTTGCAAGACTCCCCCCAAAATAGACCAGAGGCAACTATATTTCATATACCAGAATTTACTATTGCTGCTGAAGGTAAATGAGCATAATGGTCACAAATCCAATACATTCAGGATTGGCACTGTCCATAAGAAATCAACTTGCAGCAGAATTAACCTAAACTTACAATAACTTAACAATAAGACTAAAACCTTAACACTAAGTGTGCTATGTACAGAACACCACACTATTATTATAGTCAGCATGACCTTGAGTGAAAGAGATAACAGATGCAGTCCAAACCAGACCAGCTGTTCAGCTTCTCCGAAGGAATAACCCAAACATCAGGAACCTTCTGCCTGTTTTTTAGGCAAATTAGAGAATTCCTTGTCAGTTAGTGTGGCGTTTGCCCATTCTTTGGGGATACGTTTGTATTGGGGGAGAGAAGGGGTTACTAGGTTGACCAATAAGAAAGCCTGAAGGCGGAGCCTACCTGATTTTGAGGCTCAGCCTAGAGGTTTTGACAGTTCAGTTGGTTTTTTTGGGGGGGAGAGTCAGGGTGAGTTAGAGACAGGGACAAGACTGAGGGAATAGAGTGACAGCGTTTCGAATATATTTTAAAACTTGTTTGTGTTTGAAATAAACTTTAATCTTCATTGTTAACTCTACCTGACTGAGACTCAATACTTCACCAGGGAACCCTGAGTTTTTTCCACAAAATTGGTGGCAGCAGAAGAATAAAGTAGTGGTGTACAGGTCAATAGTCCGTGAAACGACTGGGGGCTCTGTACGAACTCCACAGTTAGAAACCTCCGTCTTGCACTAGTTGTATCACACAGAGAAGCTTCCAGAACCCTCTTGAATCAATTAGAATAGGAAAGAGCTCTCTACACATCAGATCAATACTTTCTTCACCAAAAAAATGCAAACTGACAGACACTTCTAAAATCAGAAATAACTTTTCTTCACAGTCATACAGCATTTGAATTCTTCATTCACATAAAATAATAAATTATATCCCTTATACATATATGCAATAATCAACAACAAAGAGAGATGGGCAAAAGGTACACATTAATAAGATGTTTCTCCACTAAACTGACATTCCGCACAGGACAGAATTGGAAACAACCGAAGAACAATAATACCTAGTACTGTATGTGTGTCAAGACTCAATTGCTGAGGTCTTCTCATGGGACGATGTTAGCACTTGCCCCTGAGCCTCAGCTGACCTTTACCAGGGTCTGAGCCCTTAATGTTGCTGGCCTTGCCCTGCGGAACTCCTTGCAAACAGTAGTTCAGCAGGAGTCATCCCTGATTCTTTTCAGATGCCTTCTAAAAAACTAATTCAGACACTCCTTTCATATCTGGAATTCTCTGCCAAACGGCTCCTATTGGTGTGTTTGATTTTTTAAAATTGTTTTCATTGTAATAGTGTGTTTTGAGTCTGTATACCACCTCATTATATTCTAGATGAAAGTGCAGTTTATAAATAAATAAATATGTAAAGGGATGCACAATCTGCATAGTATTATTTAGCTTTATAACAGGCTTATGATATAGAACCATCATAACACAGTGACCTGAATGGTGCCTGCTATTGGAGCTTATCACTAAAATCTCTCTGCTGACTAAGCTACAGCATAGTCTTTTCATTATGTAAACCACTCTGGAACAAATTTTAATGAAGGGTGAAATATAAATATTTCAAACAAACAAAGAAATCTATGTAATAGTTTACAGGCTGATTGCAGAGCAACATACCAAGCCATTTCTCAAAATTGGCATGGTTGCAATGAAAATCCGTATTATTCATTTGCTGCATGCCCATATGATTTATTCCATGTGTTTTCAACCCAAAATTGAATTTAGGTTCATACTCCTCATAGATGAACAATTAATCTGGCCATGCATACTAGAGCAACCAGAAGATTATCCATGTTGATGCACAGATAATCTTCTGATTGCTGTAAAGCATGCATAGCAAGATTAATTTTTAGCCTATGAGGAGTAGCACAAGGTGAACTAACAGAAAGGTCAGAGCTAACATTGTCTGTTGTCTTACGAATGGAGTGGGCAGCCTGTGGCCTAATAAGTTCATGTGGACCTTGGTGGTGGAATTTTATGTGGCCCTCATTCAGATCTTTGGCAAGAGCAATCTGTCCCTCTCCATATAGCTTGCAGGGGGTAGAAAAAAGAAAAAGATACAAGATAGAAGGGAGATACACACTTTTTGGCTCTGACCCTGCCTACCACAGACTTCAGCCCTGCCTACCATCTGCACACAGCTCCCAATGTATCCTCCCCCTGGCAAGGAAATGCACATACTCTGTAAGTGTCACAGAAAAAAATTAGACATCTCGTTTTCTCGTGGGAGAGCATGGCAGCCATTTTGTGTGCCATGAGATCTCACATGATTTCACAACAAGATCCTGTCCAGAAAAACAACAACACTTCCGCCCCCAAAAAGCACATTTTTTTTCTGGGTGGCACCCCAGAGAGGGCATTTTCGGTTGCTGTGTGAACACGGCTGTGAAAAAGGGCATCTTTTGGACTCCGTGATCTCATGCAGGTCGTGTGACTCGTGAGGGAGCACAGGCAGCAAGACACGCTTCCTCGTTTGGGGGTTCAAGATGTTGGAGGGTATGAATGCAGTCCTAGAGAAACAGAAAGTTACTAGCCCCAGTGTTAGAGCATAGAAAGATAACGGTCTGGTGTAACTAGTTACATATTATTATTATTTTGCAGTCGAACAGTCTCACTTCATCCTATCAGTACACTATACAGTGGTACCTCAGGTTAAGTACTTAATTCATTCCGGAGGTCCGTTCTTAACCTGAAACTGTTCTTAACCTGAAGCACCACTTTAGCTAATGGGGCCTCCCGCTGCTGCCTCGCCGCCAGAGCACGATTTCTGTTCTCATCCTGAGGCAAAGTTCTTACCTGAAGCACTATTTCTGGGTTAGCAGAGTGTGTAACCTGAAGCGTATGTAACCTGAAGCGTATGTAACCCGAGGTACCACTGTAAAGCATTCTGTTCATTCTGATAGCTAATAAAACCAGCCTTCAGGGAAGACATGTAATATTAATTTAATGGGCTTTTGTTTTATTTTTAAAGCAGGAAACATTATTATAAGTTTTTCAAATCCAATTTTTCATTAAAAAAAAATATTTAGTAGTCAGTGGCAAAAAAATAAATGTGATAATGATAATAAGGTCCTGTGAAGTTGTTAGGAGATCCCTGTTCCACTCACAGAGTTACAGTTATTTGGAAGAAGAATTGATTGTTAAAACACTCTGTAGACCCAACTTGACAAGCTATAGTTCCCAGGATTATTCAGGGGAAGCCATGTTTGCTGAAGTGGTATCACAGGGCTTCATGCTACTTACATGTAGCACATGGCTTTCCTGTACCACTAGATGGCTCTTTCCAACCATAACTTTAAATTGTATAGCGAAATACATTTATAGTCATCATTATACACATGTAATTCATGGTGCTCAGCCCATAGTACCGCACCTCACACAATCAACGCGGCTTCATGGATCGTTCCAAATACTGACAATTATCCACCTAGAACATCTTATTCATTCTGTAGGATTTGTACAACAGCCAATAGCACCATGGAGTTTTAACCTTCAGAGCCTGGGGGTTGGAGGAGGCTAGTAATGACTTATGTAAGGCCTACAAAGCTTGTGAGCCATAAAGCAGAATGCAGTTCTTTGGCCATATATAAACTGGGTCCACTCAGTGTTCTGTGTTTGTGGTCTGTCTGGGATTGTAAGAACTGGGAAATTGCAGTCAAACACAATTAAGCGTAAGGGCGTGAAGGGGTTAAGACCAGAGAGGTTTGTTTCTAGACTCAGGTGATCATGCCCCCTTACCTCTGTGAGGGAGGATGTGATGCTGTTTCTCTTCCTTTGTCTCACTCTCTTCTCAGCATGTAACCCACCAGAACAGACTCAAAGTTCAGACAGCATGTTTGAAACTATATTGTGAATTTTGCACCCAAGAGTAATCTACCTGGCTTCTCCTTGCTGCTGTGTGGGGCAACACATGAACCACACCTTTGAATTTAGTGAGTAAATATTTTAAACTTACTTAACAGTGTGTGGTCTGTTCATTGCTAGAGAGGGAGAGGGTGGGGCAAGTGCTTTAAGACAGAGTAAACAGGCTATGCAAAAAAGTTGAACAACCTATATTCCAGGCCATGCTGCAGGTTAACTCTGAAAGTGTTTTCAACTCTGCTGGGGGTTCTCTCCAGCTGGAGAGTGTTCTAAACCCCGTGTTTTAAATCTAGGTGCTCAGCTGATTCTGTGGGTCAGATCTATTTTCCAGTTCCACAAAAACGGGGGGATTGTCAAGCACTCCCGAGGCTTGACCTTTGTTTGAATCACAAGGTAGTCGTACTTCCTTTTGTGATGGCCCCTGAAGAACACGATTTGGCTTGCTACCTCTGTTTGTGGCCTTCTGTAGCCTCCCTGCTTTTATCTTGGTTTGGTCGTTGTGGTTTAGTTGTGTTTTGAGTCTTTGTGAGCCCATGGACCAAAGCACGCCAGGTTTGGTCATACATTCCACCTATTGGTAAAAGAAGGCATTGTACTTCATATTAGTATTATGCCACATCCTAACTATGTATTTAAAGCACCTCCGGAAGGATCAAGGCTTCAAGGCAAGAACTCCAGCAAGTGAATGACAAAGAGAGAGTTAGCTGGGAATCCAACTCAAAGAGCCACTAGGAACCACACAGAAGAGAAATGAAAACCCTATTACTGTGATCAAAGAACAGGGAAGTAGAAGTCAAAGGGAACCCAGCCCCTCTTCCTTTGACAGTCTGTGTTTCAGGGGATGAGACTTGTAGCTTTCACAATAAGCTTTATTACCTCCCCATTCCCCACAATTTGTGCACTAGGTTCGACAAGCTAGCTGTGAACTTCATTTGGTTCAATGAGTCACGAGCCTAGATTAAGGGTTGCCCACAATGCGGGAGTCATATATTGGGCATCCTGGTTGTTGCTTTAGTTTTGCGATTGCTACGGGAATTATTTAGTATGATTCTTGAGAGACTTTTGTGTGTTTTGCATGAGCCGGTAGGAGCTCTCATGGCAGGCATTTTAGCTTGACTGTAAATTCAGACTGCGTGATATTTAAGACTAAGTATGGTAAAAGAGAAAAATGGAACAATAATAGAGGATTAGCACAGATTACGTGGCAACGACAGAATTCCCTGCTATGAAAATCAATCCATTATTTGGCACCCACAAAATGCACTGCAAATGCCCAGTACCCCAGCAGGAGTGTCCGATATGTCTATTCTGCTGCTGTTCTGAAAAACAGTGTCTTCTCAGTTTTTTAATTAAAGAGTCTGATCTGTGCCAACCAGAGATAGAAGGATTGCCAGCAACATCCAGTCTGTTCGGTGGGTGGGGTGGGGAATGGTGGCATGAAGGGAATTGCCATGCTATTTCAAGTCTTGGAAAACAGAATTTACAAGCCCGTTGCTTGGTCCCAGCGCCTGCCAACCTAGCAGTTCGAAAGCACCCCCGGGTGCAAGTAGATAAATAGGGACCGCTTACTGGCGGGAAGGTAAACGGCGTTTCCGTGTGCTGCGCTGGCTCGCCAGATGCAGCTTTGTCACGCTGGCCACGTGACCCAGAAGTGTCTCCGGACAGCGCTGGCCCTCGGCCTCTTGAGATGGGCGCACAACCCTAGAGTCTGTCAAGACTGGCCTGTACGGGCAGGGGTACCTTTACCTTTACCTGGAGAACGTGCATGAATGTGCTTTGACGGTTTGGATTGATAGTGCACACTCTTTGGTTATTGTTTCCTAGATTATAAGCTAAGTTTTGAACTGATAAAAAAACTATAGGCAACAATGCTGTGTGCCTCACTGATTTCAAAGAGAGCTACCTGCATGGTAAATCGGGGCAGGGAGCGGAATTTATGCCGAGCATCCCGATTCAACTCTTCTGCTGCAATGCATCTACATGTAGAGATCTGCAAGCGGTGCATGGCTGGCAGGCACTCTGAATAGGTGGTCCTCCACCATAATGCAACATTTTGTCATGACTGATAGCCACTTGTTGGCTTACTTTCCGCTCACTTTTGTGAAAAGCTTTCTCCAGTATTTTTTAGACAATGTGCTTTTCAATCATTATGATATTTTGCTGCATTTTTATGATGTAAGCCAGGCATAGGCAAACTCGGCCCTCCAGATGTTTTTTAGGACTACAACTCCCATCATCCCTGACCACTGGTCCTGTTAGCTAGGGATGATGGGAGTTGTAGTCCCAAAACACCTGGAGGGCTGAGTTTGCCTATGCCTGATGTAAGCTACTTTGAGCTGCATTATACAGTCAGACCATTGGTTCACCAGGCTGTGTACTGTCAACAGTGACGGGTAGTGGTTTCAGAAAGCATCTTTCCTAGTCCTTACCTGGAGATGCCAGGGATGCTGCATGCAGGTGATGCCAGCTTCAATTCCCAGTATATCTCGGTAAGGCAGCGAGAGAGCTGCTGCTGGTCAGTGTTGACAGTGCTAGGCAGACCAGTGGTCTGACTTAGTAGAAAGCAGCTTCATAGGCTGCTTTTTTGAGTTTATGTATATGTTAAAGAAGCAGCACACTTATTGTTAAAATAATACTTTTGTTTGCCTCATTTGCAAACCCTCAGACTCTGAATATATTTTAACAGGCTAATTCTGAAAATGTAACATTTTCTTCTGCTCACTCTTAATTAGGAAAATGGTGTATAAGGCAGATGGCGGAAATCTTGCCAGTGAACAAACCCAGAATCCTTTCCACCACATGCCACCATTCACTGCTTTAACACATTTCTCTGCCAGAAAAAACATTCCGAGTTCCACCCCCCATAGAATTTAGCATTTGCTATTTATGTCATATGCATGTCTAAATCTATTATTGCCTGCAAGGAGAAATTCTGTAAAAGTATGTTTGGAATTACATGTTTGATGATCTGCCAATAACATTGCATTTTTCTGTTATTATTTTAAGCTTACAGGTCTGTTTTTGCTTTGTACGAAAACAATGGCTTGGATCGCAAGATGGATCGCAAGATGAATTAACTTAGGCCACAACCCTAGCACCACCTACCTGGAAGTAAGCCCCAAGTAAATTTGATAGGACTTGCTGCTGGGTAAACATGGTTGAAATTGCACCGTAAGGCTGCAATTGAGCTGGGAGCCAGACTCGTAGAACTCAATGGGACTTGCTTCTGAGGAGACATGTATGGGATTGTGTCGATAAGGAGCTTTGTGGAAGGAAAACTTTCTGTTACTTCCTCTCCCCTGCAGCCACCCAGCCCCTAACTCCACCACCCACAAAAAGCTCTCCAGAGGTTTAGGGAGCTTTCCTGAACATCTGGGGATGGACCTAAGATGACTCACAGGTAGTAGTGCATTGACAGCCGTGTCCCTTCTAAGGTTATACAATAACCTCATAATTATACAATAGTAATAATTTGGGATGCTTTGCAACAATCTTCATGTGTTGCCTATCGGTGAGTTCTGCTGTTTTCTGCGCATGTAATTGGGAAAAGATTAGTAGTGTTCCAGTATCGTCTTTCAGAACTCCTTCCACTTTGGCAAGTGCTGTGAAGCTGCAATTACTACTGTTAAATTCAATTTAGTTATAGACTTCCAACACCAGATTGGGTTTTTGCAAAATCCGGCAAAACACCCTTCCCCGCTCCCACAAAAACTACAATAGTCTTATTGAAAGTCCTGCTGATTTTGAAAGTCCTTATTGAAAGTCCTACACATTTTTGTCAGTTGCTTCACCTGAAGAGGAACCTCCATATTTGCTTCATATTTATATTTCAGGCAATAAAAGACTCCTGCACTGCAGGGGGTTGGACTAGATGACCCTGCAGGACCCCTTCCACTCTGCAGTTCTGTGATTCCATATGGTGCCCACGAGGAAGTAAGTATATTGATCCCGTCTTACTCAAAATTCATAAATCTGATCAAAACTCTTTTGACTTCCTATGAAATTCCTTCAAAGCCATTTGCCTGAGGAGAAACTACCCAATTCAGCTTTGAACTTCACTTTAGGTGATGTGGGTTTTTTGGCAATTCTCACGCTAGGTTTGCAAACACCCGCTTACGTGAGCTTCTGTGCGAAGAATAATCGCCAGGGCCTACAAGGGACAGACGTAGGGATATTTAGGGAAGCAAAATTGTTGTGAGCTAATCGGCATGTATTGCAGAGCTTTCCAAACTGTGTGTCGCAACACGTTAGTGTGTCGGCTGCAGTGTGTAGGTGTGTTGCATTAACACTCCCTGAGCTCCTCCCGGGGCTGGAAAAGGTTAGTTTAACCTCTGGTTTGCTAGTAAAACTGAATTACAGTGTTGCAAAAGTAGCGGGTCCATGGATTGGCTTTCAATAAAAGGGCATTTGCAGTACCTCGCTAATTAAGAACCACTATAATAAGCTAAAAGAACACACACAAGATACAGCCTGTGATTTTGATTCGGTATTTTTTTTTTTAATAATAATAATAATAAATTGTGCCAGCAGAAGCTTTCGAAAGGCAAATGATAAATAAATAACAGTTAAACTGAGTTCCTGAGGAAGAACCTACCACATGAAAGAATGTCAGATAGTTGTAAATATATATAAAAAACATGGCATTATTATATAAAAAGTAGTAATACTGAAATCTTTCATAAACTGCCACAACACAAGCACTGCATACCTCAGAACACTCCTTTCATACAAATGTAAACAAATACACAATCATTTTGTTTAGTTTAGCCTGATGGATTTACAGGTGCTGTTGCTTTAGATATCTAGACAATGGGTAGGATATGATAGGCTAAAATGTTAAGGAAGAATATTTGGAATTAAATGGGAGTGGGGAAACGCAGCTTCAGATTCAAAAGCTTAACATAAAAAGCAAGAACACAGTGGAATATTGCCCTCAAATGTTATTGCAATGAATTATTTTAAAATAGGACTGTTAAACTAATCTGATTTAGGTATATATATAATATAAATGAAGATATTTATGGCTTACTTATTTTTAGTATTCCATTATCATTTTGAATAATCCTTATGTTAACATAACTAATAAAATGCATCATTTTAAACAATTTTAAGAAAATATTTTAACGTACGCTTGCATTTTGATAGAGATGCAGGGTTAGTATAGTCCATCATAGATATATAACAATATAACAGACCAGGTATAATCGGGGCCAGCATTTGGGAACGTCACTTAAGACAACTAAGGCTGCTGCCCCAAATATATTCATTTCTGTGTATACATGGTTAGAATAGGCCTATTTAAATAGGAAAGAAGAGTTCACAATTCCTGGCAGCTCTGGAAGTGCCAGCCATTGTTGCCTCAATGCGATGTTGATAAAGGACTGCACGCTTTCATCATGTAAGCCATTTCTGGTCCTCCAAGTGATCAGAGAGAAGCAGTTAGAGAGGCCAATGTGTATCTATGGTTTCGGGGATTGCTATATATACTGTAGATCGGTTTTCCACCATAAGATATAGCCGCAACAAAGAAAAGATGCACCTGGGGAGGGTCTACATCTCAATGGCAAAATATATGTTTTGCATGTATATAGTTCCACGTTAAATCCCCAGCGCCTCCCAGTGAAATGGTCTCAGGTTAACTGGGCTTGGAAGAATTCTGCCTGAGAGACTGTCTGCCAGAGGAGACGATACTGGCTAGGGTGTTGAGGGAACAACTTGGTATAAAGGCAGCTCCATAGATTCAACATATCCCAGAAAGAAAGGCATTGTCACCTTTAACATTACTGCTCTGAAGAGTCCTATCAGTTTTAAGGATAAGGAAGTAAGGCCCACAAATCAAATTTAAGGCACAAAGAATTCTCCTCTATATATTCCCCCCCCCATATAGACACTAAATGATAAGATAAATGAATACTATATGGCAAGTTTCAAACAACTGAACACTGCATACCATGTGGTAGGTGAGTGGGCCATCAAACAGTTAGATTTTGGCCACAAATTTATTTCCAAAGCAACTGTTTTGCTAGTTACCCATCTTTGGGAGAAATTTTAAGAAACAAGATAATCAACTGCTACTAACCTCTCTCTCTCTCTCTTCCCCTGTACACACCACCAACCCCTAACCTGAATTAGAGCTTTGTAATTTGTTTTTACAGAACACACAGTCATAATAAAGAGTCAAAACCACCCACACAATACATTATCAGCACACAAGTCCCGAGGGTCGCTGAGATCCTCAGTACAAGTACACGCACAGGACCTGCCTGTGAATGGCAAGAAATAGGTCATTTCAAAACAGAAGAAACAACATAATCACAGCTCCATGCAACATTCTACACAAATCCAGTCACTGAAACCACTCTTCGATTGCCACTTGCTCACACTTTGATTACACTAAATTAAAATTAAAAAATCAAAAAAAGGGAAATAAAGCAGCTTCAAAAATGATGTCAGGATACTGAAAGTACATATAGATTATTATGGTGTGAATAAAAATGGCACTGGTAAATGTAGGACAGCAGACTTTTTCTTCTCTTATTAAAACATTATTGCACAGAGACCTTTAATCACACGTTCTTCAGTCTTACTTATTTTCCTAAAAATGTGACATAAGTGCGATGGACATTAAAAAAAAAAAAGAATGTAGAAAAGAAGAACAGCAGCATGATTTGTCTGAATTAATCCTTATAATTTAGTAGGATAAACAGAACCCTGCTATAAACAAAAATAAGTGCTCTCTGCTCACTTGAAAATAAAATAAAACAGCACAACACTGTGGAAGCTTGTAAATGCTCAGAGTGGGCAACGCTGACCCAGAAGGAAAACTTGGCTTAAGAACACGCCTGTCCTTGGAAATCGATGCTGAAAATCTGGATTTCAAGTGCACTCATTAACATAGCTATTTACAGTCCTAAACAGCCTAAACTCAAAACCAGCTTGCATTTAGGACCTGGTCTGCAAGTCCTTCTATCTGCAGGCTCAGACGGAAGTTATGGATAAATGGGTTAATTTTGTAGAACTCTGTACAATAATTTACACATATACGGGTTGACAGGCTCCTGCCTGATCCAGCCCATCTTTGCTTTCTGTATCAGAATTCTCTGACTGGTTCACTTCTATTCCAGAAGGCTTTGGGTATCTGAACGGGTATCCATTGTCGTCAAAGAACCTTCGGAAAGTGAACTCATAGAAGGCATGTTCCGTGTGTTTGCCGCTGGAGGAAGTCTGCGGGTCCCATGCCCTGGTGCTGTCCTCACTAGCGTCATCCCAAGGGCCTTCTTCCTCAACGGGATCAAAATTCGAGGTGTCCATTGGATGGCTGATCTTTGGGACGTAGGGAGCTGCCTGCCTGCGGATATCCGCGGAGAAGTCCATGGAGTCAAAGAAAGGGTGAACCTTGAGGTCGTCTGCTCCATTTCTCCCGAGCCTCTCTTCGGCAGCACAGCACAGTTTTGTGATAAGGTCCCTTGCTTCGGGGCTCAGCTTGATCTGGGAGGGGATGTGCAGTGTGTTCTCCCAATTTATCACCTGAAGAGTAGTGAATATAGATGGTTAGCATCCAGTAGCATTCCTCCTGAAAGGCAAGCCTTCTAGACATAAAACAAAGTTAGGCTATCCTGGGCCAGATAGAGGCACAACTGGGCCACCAGTTGAAGCTGATGGAAGGCATTACATGCCACTGAGGCCACCTGAGCCTCAATCCAGAAGTATCCTCAAGCTACAAAATGTGTTCTGAGGTAAAAAAAAAAAAATCCCCCAAAGATTCCACCCACCCCCTCAAGAACTCTTAAATCACTGATATCTACATATCTACCACTTGGTTAGATGCTAAAGAGTGGCAATACAAAGTAGGAAATTATTTAACAAATTCATTTAATTTAGAAGGAAATGTGATCAATGTTATTTACAGAGAAGCCTAAAATGAACTTGTATTAGAAATACAATCTAATCATTCTAGTAATGATTTTTAGTGCTGGCTCTGTTAGGAATTTTGGATATCTATGGCTTTTTTATAGTATTACTGTTGTCCTATAGATTCGATTTTATGACTGATAAAGGGCCTTTCCATCCATGGCAAATTCCTTCAAACTGTATCATCGGTCAGCTTCAGATTGTCAATATTTTTCAGGCGGCATTCTAGAGCATACTAGAAGTTTAGTTTTGTGCAATTAAAGTGGGTTAAATTGCTCTGTTGCCTGGCACAACAAATCCGCTAAAAAAACACACCCCAGACTTTTTGCAATTGGGAAAATGGTGGTAAAATGTATGGACAAGATAACTGCTATGCAAGTAACTCAGGTTGAATGCTCATTGCCATGTAACCTCTTTGTAGAACGTCCTCCACCAATCTGCCCACCCTGTTCCTGGTTGCCCTGCTAGCCAGGACATGTTTGCCAATTCCAGAGGAAGAGGAGAGTGGAAATCCACAAGTGGTTACCCCTTTGGGAATTTATGATCCATTTGAATAAAGTGAGTGATACATTATTGGGTGGCTACTGGCACTGTGCTGTTGTGTGTTTCATGACTGCTTAATACCAGACTGAACCGGTATAGAGTAAGTCAGTAAAGCCATACCTGAGTGGGAGATAGGGAGGGAGTAATGTTGTGGGCATCTATCCAACTCAAAAGCCAATGGAGTGAAGGCAAACCACTGCGTTTACGGCACTGAAGCAACCTCTCCAGGGCGCCAGCCTGGGCAGTGTATATGGAGGTCCTGGGGTGCCCCTCTCTCAGCCTCGCTGGCGTGGTCCAAAGGAAAGCAGAGCAATACTTTTGGCACCAGCTTGGCTGCAGGAGTTATCAGAAGGAGGCATACAAGGAGCCTTCCAATCGTCACTCCAGATGTGTACTGTTTGTATAATAGTGTATTACCCTAGGTGGAGGTGGGTGAATGAATTGGTTTAAGTTGTGCTTAATGCTGCTAGATTATTTTTTTGGGTAAGCCGGAAGTTCTCTTGTGGAAAACGTTTCATTAGGGATTAGCTGTGTTATCTTGTAGGGTTGGTGTAGGGATGCCTGAGAAGAGGAGGAGGAGGAGGAGGAGGAGTTGTTTAGATTTGATATCCCGCTTTATCACTACCCGAAGGAGTCTCAAAGCAGCTAACATTCTCCTTTCCCTTCCTCCCCCACAACAAACACTCTGTGAGGTGAGTGGGGCTGAGAGACTTCAGAGAAGTGTGACTGGCCCAAGGTCACCCAGCAGCTGCATGTGGAGGAGCAGGGAAGCGAACCCGGTTCCCCAGATTACGAGTCCACCGCTCTTAACCACTACACCACACTGGCTCACACCACACCACACATACGAGGTCTGTATGTAGAAGATTGCTAAGGGTATATTTCAGTTATTTTGTTCAGCTGCCAACTATGCTGAGTATGAAGAGTTGTATTTCTGTGATTTTTATTAGTAATATCTTTTAAATCAAGTGCAAAGTACATGTTTAAAGCAGCATGAAGTTAACCTGTAATGTTTTGGTTTTGATACTTTGGAATGTTCTATTTGATGTCTTTAAAATAGTGTTTAAGATTTTTGTTGACATATAAACTGGTACAGAAAGGATTTAAATAAATCAAATGCACAATAAAGACTGGGCACATTCTAACCTCCTGGAAAGCTTTGTGCAAGCAAATCAGGACGAATGCTTAATAAACATGCTTATTGTCTAGAGCAGCCCATGGCCTCATTTTGTACAAAAGAAAATTAGTACTAGATGGGCCATTGGCCTGATCCAGCAGGCTCATCTCATGTTGTGGACAGCTCCGTCAGGAAAGCATGAGGCTCTTAATCTCAGGATCACGGGTTTGAGCCCCATGTGGAGCAAAATATTTCTGCATTGCAGGAGGCAGGAGTAGATGACCTTCGTGGTCCCTTCCAACTCTGTGATTCTACGATTCTATATAAAGGCCTTTGCTTACGTCAGGCCTCCCCAAACTCACCCCTCCAGGTGTTTTAGGACTACAATTCTCATCATCCCTGACCCCTGGTCCTGTTAGCTAGGGATGATGGGAGTTGTAGTCCCAAAACATCTGGAGGGCCAAGTTTGGGGAGGCCTGGCTTAGGTGTTCATTCCGTGTTGTTTTTAAACCTATCCTTGGTTGTTGTATTATTTTTAAATTTAGTTTTAGATGATTTTGAGGATACGTCTGTAAACTGCCTTAAATATATATATGTAGAATATTCACAAATAAATAAATAATAACACCCATGCCTTACCCAAATTGGATTGTTGCCCAACAAAAAAATCCAGGATTGATTCATTATTTGAAGAAAATTGAGAAAAAGGGGGGGGACCACCACAGAGCTACACCATTAATTTTTAACAATATTAATTGGGAGTGAATTTACCTTCAGCTGGGTTTCTGTGGGAGAGGCAGCCAGAAACGGAGGCTGCCCAACCAACATCTCAAAGAGAATCACACCAACACTCCACCAGTCACATAGCTGAGTGTATCCTGAAAGGCAATCAGGAAAACAATGTGTTATCTGCTGTGTTTTCAAAGACGCAAGTCAGATTTTATTTTCAATTTTATCAATAACCTTGCCACTTATAGGTTCGTAACTTCATCTGAGAAGAATGAACTGTGGCCAAAAACCTAAACTATTGAAAAATCTGCTTTATGTGCCTTGTGATGGCTGAGCTTGATCCTGCCTCTGAAAGCAAAGTGGATATTCAAAAGTGCTCAAGAGTATTTTATTCACTGCACTATGAAGATTATAGCAAGCCTCAGAGAATATGGAATTCTGTACTGAGATGCCTGAACTTTTTGTATAAAACGTATATACAGTCAAACCTTGGTTGTCGAACGTAACCCGTTCTGGAAGCCCGTTCGGCTTCCGAAATGTTCGACAACCAAGGCATGGCTTCCGATTGGTTGCAGGAGCTCCTGCATTCAAATGGAAGCCGAGTTGGACATTTGGCTTCCGAAAAAACGTTAGAAAACCGGAGCATTTACTTCCGGGTTTTCGTCGTCTGGGAGCCGAAATGTTCCAAAACGGAGGCATTCAAGATCCGAGGTTTGATTGTACTGCAGTATAGAATACTGAGTGCTTGTGATGAAGGGTGAGCTAGAAACATTTGAAACAAATAAACCACCTACCTTTACGAAGGAGAACTTCAGGTGCAATATAATTGGGTGTTCCAACTAATGAATGGGCTAAACACCTCTGATGTTGCTTTTTAGCTCTCTGCTCCAAGGTCTTCAACCTGTCTCCACATCTGCAGTTGGACACATCATCCCAAAGGTCGCTTGGCTCCATGCTGTCCTGCCTGATGTGGCTCCCTTTCAACAGATGGGGAAAGAAAATAGGAAATTACATGGAAAGATCAACAAAAGCTCTCCCAAGAAACAAAACAAGCACGATTCACTATGTTTTTCTCTGAACTGCAAGCTTTGCAATTTAATTTGGGTTGCAATTTTTGTTTGCATTTCATCCCTTCCCCTAACATGTGACATCTTAGAAATGAATAGTGTGTTTAAAAAAAGGTTCAGGAGACAAAAGGTAGCTGCTTACTCAAAGATAAAAATGTTTGTGGCTCTGGGGACTCAGAAGCAGCCGCAAACGGTGACTACATTCACCTCTGAGTTGTCAGTATTTTTCTTCAATTAAAGCAGACTATAGCGCTCTGTTGCCCTGCTGCAACAAATCCACTTAAAACAACAACAAACTAGACTCTTTGCAATTTAAAAAGTAACAGGGAAACATAGTGAAAAGTGTGAGATGAACATCTGAAAAACGAGAAGACCACCATCCAAGTAAATCAGGATGAATGCTCATTGCCGTTTAACATCCTCACAAACAAACTGGAATGAATGCTCAATAGAGACTGGACAATGTTGTATTCCATGTAGCACCAAGTCACTGGTTCTTTCAGTGCAGGATTTTCTTCTTGTGCAACGAAACCTTTCCTCTCCTCTCCTCCCTCCATGTGCCCCCAATTCTGTTCTGCTGGCTCAACTTTTCAGTGCAGGTTTTGCAGGGTAGGACAAGTGCGAGGGAAGGAGGAGGCGGGCGGGAAAATCCCATTGTGCTAGCAGTATTATTTGAACTGATGGGAATATTTAGCTGAATGCCTCCTGTATTCTAAGATGAATGCCCAATGAACAGGTTGTCTGGAGGGGCCCTATATGTTATGTGGCTCATATGTCTATTGTGCATTTATTAAAAACGCCTGTGTTTGTAAATAGGCTGGCGTCGGCTACTGCTACCATCTCTCTGATTTTACACAGTCACACCTTGGCCCCCTCATCTCCATCCAAAAATCTGCCCCCAGAGTCATTCACTTTTTTCTCTTTCTGCTCCTGGTCCAGTACAAATTCCTTGTCTTCCCCTTTAAAGCTCTCCTAAGCCTGGCCTGCCTTTATCTCTGCTCTTATATCCCCCATGCATCCCCTGCCCATGACCGCCACTCCTCCAGCCTCTGCTCCATCTCCCTTTTTGCCCCTTATCTTTGGGCTGCCTCTTAGAACAAATGGGTGACATCACCTCTCTCACATTCTTCAAACACCTCAGCCCCCACCTTTCTCATGTTTTTATAATGTGTTTATTGTATTTTTGAGTTTGTGCTATAAGCCACTCTGGGGATTTTTTCTGAAGGGGAGGATATATACATATGCTGAAGTCATAGTAACAACAACTACGGCACATTTCGAAGCTATCTCCTTGCCCCCAGGCCCAGTACCTTTCTGGTAATATTTCGAGTTGTGCGTCCACCTGAATCCAGTGCAGAGGCCAAAGTCGGTCAGTTTGATGTGTCCATCGAGATCAATCAGAATGTTATCAGGCTTGATGTCTCTATGGATAAACCCCATTTTGTGCACGCTCTCTATGGCCAGCGTGAGTTCAGCAATGTAAAACCGAGCTAGCTTTTCTGGAAAGACTTCCATCCGGATGAGCAGGCTCATCATGTCTCCGCCGGGGATGTAGTCCATCACAAAATACAGGTTCTCCTTGTCCTGGAAGGAGTAGTAGAGCTTAACCACCCACTCATTGTCTGCCTCTGCAAGGATATCCCTTTCGGCCTTGACGTGGGCAACTTGGTTACGGTTCAGCACGTCTTTCTTCCTCAGGGTTTTCATGGCGTACAGGGCGTGGGTGTCCACTTTGCAGGCAAGGCAGACTTCCCCAAAAGCACCAATACCCAGAGTCTTGATTTTTACAAACATAGATTTGTCCATTTTGGCTCTCTTGAGCCTGTTGTAGTTGGACTCCTTTTGGTAGAGAATTTTCCTCATCTGCTCTTGTTCTGTTTCACAAAGGCCAGCCTGGGTTAAAATTATGAGGTGGGGAGAGAAAAATCAAGGGAGTCAGGATCATCACACACACACAAAATTGCCGGAAAAGTTGTACAATCGCATCAGTTACGAAAAATGTGGAACTAAAGCTCAGTCTGTTTTTGTTCCATCTCACCCTCTAAATATTTAAAAGCAGTACATGCAGGTTGCATTCATTCTATTACTTTGTTATTTTCAGTTCATGCTTCTAAGGTTAAAATCTGGCTCAAAAATAATCACTGCAACTATCTAATTCCTCATTGCATTTCACTAGCCCACATGGCAAGGAAGGTAACCTTGAAAAATCTGAGGGAAATCCCTGATAAAATTTTGTAAGTCAAAGGGATTCCACTGGTCGTTAAACCATAAGAGGACCCATAAGCAGTGGCGTAGCTAGCCGCTCAGGTGTCTGGTGCAGGGTGTGTGTGTCCTGCAACTGGGGGCGGGGCAATCTGCCCATGGAGGCGGGGTGAGCCTCGTCAACGCTTGAAGCCTCTCTGCCGCTGTGGGAGAGGTAGTAGGCAGACGCAAGTCCCATGCTGCCATTTCAAGCAGCGCGGCACCTGCAGGCGCCTAAGCCACCATGTCACTCCTAAAAAGTTTCGTGAGCCCAATTTTTTTAAAAAAACTTATTTTGTCACCCCCCTTCAGTGATGACACCCAGGGCGGACCACACCCCTCATACCCTCCTTCCTCCACCACTGCCCATAAGAGGAATCAAGCCAAAGGCATAAGAATTCTAGCATCCTAGTTTCAACACTGGCCAACCAGATGCCTATGGGAAGCCTCCAAGCAGAATATTACAAACAGCCCTCTCCCACTGCTATACTCCAACCACAGGAATTTAGAGGTCTGCTGCCTTTGATAACACAGCTTCCATAGAGCCAACATGAAGAGGAGTCTACCAATTCTATGAGTCATTGACAGCCTTATCTTCCATGTGTTGTTTGTCTATTCCCCTTTATATCAGGGGCAGTGGGGCTTGGCTTTCTGCTCCTTCCTCTGTATTGGGGGAAAAACTGGGTAGGGAAGAAGCACATATGATACCCAGCACTAAATCAATGGTCCTGAATGTCAGAAAATATCTCTGTAGGGGGTTGGATGAAATTGCGATGTATCAGGAAGTGTGAGAGACTTGCATATCTATGCTGTATTAAATACAGAGGTCTGCTACGTTATCCCAGTCTTATTACCTTTCAAGAAAAACAAAAGCACAAACACACAAATTACCTTGGCCATTTCTTGCTCCAGCTGCAGCCGGCGATTAATTTTCTGCTGGTAGGTCTTTATGACGTTCTCCACATGCTGCTCCATGTAGAATTTAAAGGCGAACGGCGAGTAGCTTTTAATACGTGACTCTCTTTTCTCTTCGTCTCTGCCGTTCTTCCGCACCGGCACTGGGGACGTCTGGATCTGTTTCTTGTCCTTGCCTGGCTTTTCCGCTTTGGCCGACTTGATTTTGTCGTTCCTTTCCCCGTTTTCCTCAGCTTTGTTTCCTGATGAGCTGGGGAGTCCCCGAAGGGTCTGCTCGATCCCTGTACGTAAGCAGCTCATATCAAACTGCTCGGAACTACTGGGCAGCAGCAAATGCTTCGGATAAGGAGGCGGAGGGCACCTCAGCTCCTGATTGCTATAGTCCACATCTAGCTGGTAGGCATTAGCTCCTCCAACAGGAAGGGGGTGCTGTTCGGCCATTCCTAAGCCATCCACAGCCGAAGACTGCGCAGCCAGCCAGCCAGGATGAGCGGGGCCTACTGCAGTCTGAGGCTCAGGCCTCATCACCCTTGTGCTCTTCACTGGCTGTAGAATATGAGCAGATGTGACGGCCGTGATGGTGTTTGGAGAAGTAATGGAGGCCTCAGCTTTGCCTGGAGAAGTCTGCCTCATGGATATCGGCATCTGTTGCTGGTGGCTGTTGAAAGAATTGGTTCTGCTTGGGACGCAGCCCTCAGGCCTGAAGGGAACGTGCTGCCGGACCGATGCTTCCAGGGCTGGGTTCTGCAACGAGTCGCGGCGGGATGAGGACGACGAGGACGACGAGGAGGTCGTCTGCCACTGCTGAACTTGAGGGTTGTTCATATCATACAGGTCCATGTTCAGACTGTTTCTGGATGGCGTCAACAGGCCCTGCGGTGGGCTGTCTGAAAATTCGTTCGTATACGCTGGGCCTCCTCTGGTGATTACGTGCATCGGATGGGAGGAGGGGATGGGTTGCTTGTGATGGGAGTGCGGCATATACAGACCGCCTGGCGCTTGCTGGAACCCGTGGCCGGAGTTATTCTGAACAACCGTTCCTTTGTTTGGAAGGCTTGGATACCCTCCCTCCTGCTGCAACTTGTTCTGGAAAGAATGGCTCCTCTGAATCCCATAGCCGAGAGCCTGAGCCTCCCCTTGCACCATCACGGGCTGCCTGCCGTAATGAGGGCTGTTTGAGCCAAGCTGCAAGGCTTGGCTGCTGTGGCCAGCCACCGGGTAGTTGATCACTGGAGCATCCATGTTTGCAGGGTAGGCTTTCTGCTGGTGACTGACAGGCGTGTTGTGGGAGCCTAAGCTGGCAGGCCTTTGTACTGGAGAGTTCATGGTTGCAGACTGAGAAGCAGAGAGCAAGTAGTCCATGTATGGCCTGGGAACGTCACCCAGCATGTTAGCAGCTTCTGCCCCAAAGCCTGCACCTTCATAGCCCGGGTTGCTAACCTGGTGGTAGGGTGGGAAAGATTCGCTGGACCCTTCAAAACTTGGCCTGCGGCTTATGTTGTTTGGCATAATACCCTTTCCTGTAGTGGGGAGAGAAAGATAATGGGTTGGGTAGTGTTAGGAAACCATTCAGGTGAATAGACTTAATTCATCATTTCACAAAAAGGTTTCAGATCTGTGAACAAAGGCAAAAAACACCCCCACTGTCATCGGTTAAAACAACACTTAAACTTGGCTCCATACAACACTGCAATGCAAATGATGAAACAGTTTTGAAACTAAAAGGTCGAACTGTTCTTCCTAGTAAATTCAAGTGTGTTTCTTGGCTAAGTTTACCTATGCATTTGCACTGAACCAGAAATAAGGAAATGGAAGGAGGAGTAAGAGTGAAATGCTACATGATTCTTCAGGATGAGGATACGAGTGCATCCATACTTATGGTAAAATACAATTTCTTTTCTTTTTGTACTGACAAAAAGGCAAAATTCTCACATTCAGTATTTCCTTTCAAACTCCCATTTCAAACCCTTCAACAGCAAAATGCAATGAAATTGTTGCAAGGCTTCTATCTGGTTGCATCAAACTTTAGCAGATTGGGAATGAAACTTGAAGTATATATTGCCACAGAGTCCACAGGTCAATGATCTTTTATCCCTTGAGAAACCACACTTAACAGGGTCAAGACAGCTACCAAGTTGCTTTCATATTCCACACAGCATCAAACCAGGTGAAAGCTTAGAAATGAAATGGAGAGAGCACCCACACTTACCCGAAGATGTCTGTTTAATTACCCGGACTATTTGTTCATTTCTGGGATCCAAGTATCCCATCTTGCTAATGTATTCCAAAGCTGCTTCAATGCTTCTACTGCCAGTTTGTTTCAGGGCTCTCACAGCCATCTCCTAGACAAAACAGATATACAGAAACACAAATGAAGGCCCAAGTCAACAATCTGATGGCATAACACCATGGAAGCTAAACAGCCATATGAATTTCAGTCCATTAAATTTCAGTCCATTAAATCATTGATGTAACTACAGAACTCTGGCTTTGAAGAAAAAACAAACACCCTACTTTAGGAGCATAGGAAGCTGCCTTATACTGAGTCAGAATAGTGGTCCATTTAGTATTGTCTCCAGGGTTTCAGGCAAGAGTTTTTCATAGGTCTAGAGACACCAGGGACCAAACCTTAGACCTTCTGCTGGCAAATGTGATGCTCTACTGCTAAGC